TTATTATTTGTTTCTATTTAGTTGAACATTTATTTATCATTGTCATTATATATTTCACAGTTTGTCGAAATTAAAATGTGCCACATCTATATCCTGTTTTGTTTTCTGTGTGTGACTTGAGGATGGAATTTACAAGAGATAACTTATACCAAGGTAGCTGCAGAACTGTAGCATTATGGATTTATATATTAGTCTTGGACCATAACACTACAGATCCCTTAATGCAAATAAGGTGTAATTTATGGTGCAAGATTTTCTGTGCACTGTTTTGGAGAATTTCTCCACTTTCCAACATTGGTCAATCAACTACATTTCACTACTTAATTGTAGACACGTTCTTTAACCAACTTGTATATTTCATCCACCTCCCAACCCTTTATATCGTCTCTACAGACCAATAAACTCGCTTGTTTTGAATTTTTTGTCGAAAAATTCAAAACAGGCGATTGATTTTTCCAAATGGGAGTAAACAACATTGACTTTTTTTCACTAATCTTTATTGGCTTTGAATATTTTTTCCTACAGATATATGACAAGTACTCATGTTGAAATCTAGATAAATTTAATTTGAACATTTTAATGCATGTATGATACAATTTTCTCAAAGTCAAAAATACATTTTTATTAGTAAATACTTAAAGTTTCCTTTAATAAAGTGTGTCGGTCATCTGCAGTGTTTGTTACCCTTTCACTCTTTTTATAAAAACAGATTACTTATACCGAGGAAAAAAAAAAAGAAATATGTTCTGTACTATCTACTGTTAAAAATTGATTTTTTTTAAATATAAAAATCGTTGGTAGGCAAAATTTTTGGAATTTTTTCACAATAACTTTTTAAGACAATTTTGCAACAAGGTTCTGGATTTCAAAATTTACACACACACACACACACGCACACACACACTCACACACACACACACACACACACGCACCCCCCCCCCCACACACACACACAAGTTGAGAAAATGTATGTGTGAGCATCCTCAAAGTTATAAAGATTTTTTGTTGAAATTATAGGCACCAGGACTATTGCTGACCACGAAAAGGTAGCAAAATTTTACATAGGGCGTAAAAAAGGCCAATGGGACACATCGCTCATCTGCGTAGACTGTTCTTCTTCAGATTCGTTTTCCTATTGATTCCCATACACGTTTTGATCCCATACCATGGCCCACCCTAGCTTCAAGGGGTCCTTTTCAAACATGAATCTGCACAACATGCGGATGCTTCACTATCATTAATGTGACTAATAATTTAAGCCCAGGTTCATAAAATGAAAGAACTTGAACCCAAACGACTTTTGAAATGTTCTGCATAAACAAATTAAATTAAATATGATTTATTGTGGACCTGCCACTCATGAAAAGAATTCTAATTTCTTATATAATTAAATGTCTGTTTTAGCGTTATCCAAACCTTATTCGCCGAAATATTTGAATCTGCACTACCTAAGGATGCTTGCAAACATGTAGATAGTTATATGTCTATATGTAATCATGACTCAGTCTTCAATGAAACGATTTCGCCTTAAAATATTCAAATACCCGGTATTGTAGAGATTGGAATATAGATTAGCATTACCAAATCAAAACTATTGATAAAAGGTAAAGGAAAAGAAAATCATGAATTCATATACAGCGAAAATTATTGTAGTTGTTAGTGAATTTGATATACTTGGGTATTTTATTTAGCGTATCGAGATCATTCAAAAACTAATTGCAAAAAAGTAAGGAAACCAAAAAAGTTTATACCAAAAGTAATCAGCCGAATAGTATTTGGCATGTCCGTCTTCTTTCCTTCTTCTCTCCATCCTTCCGTCACATTTTTTTTACCTCAGTTTCAAAGAAACTGTTCAAGATACCGTATATGCTGATATATATTGATTAGAATGATTTAACTGCATCAACATTTTTGACGTTGACCTTTCCCTTGAACTTCAACTCACTTCTTGAATTTGCCAGTGTTTTACCTTACAGCAACAAAAGGTGGAGGGGGAACCAGCATCTAAATGAAAAAATCCATATTAAAACCACTGCATAAGACTATACTGAGGAAATAAAGGCGTTTCTAGGGGTCTGCTGAAACATGCTCCACGTCATCTAGTGAAAATATATATATATATATATATATATATATATATATATATATATATATATATATATATATATATATATATATATATATATATATATATATATATATATATATATATATATATATATATATATATATATATATATATATATATATATAATTGTAATATTTATCTCTTTCCATACTCATGTATGCTATAGAGCCTGTTTTAATTTGTCACCAATGTTAGGTATATCTCTGTATACAAATGTAAAATTTTGATGAGATTAACTAGAGGTACTTTGAGCAAGCTCACAAAATAAATAGCCCTGCAGCAATGTAAATGTGACTGTGAACTTGCCAAAAAGACCTCACTTAAAAAATGACACAGCCACTGGTCAGTGTCTTTGACCGGAATGACCTTGGGTCAAGGTCATGACATACTCTCAGTCATGAACAATTTCTAAACCAAGTATGAGCTTCCAATGACTCTCTATTACAAAGTTATAGCTCAGACAAGAATTTTATACTTTTCTGTCAGTGACCTTGAACCTACTGTAATGATATTACATCAAGGTCAGGGCATACCCTCAGAGGATATGCAATTTCTGTACTAAGTATGAGCTTCCAGTGATTCCCAATTACAAATTTATAGCTCGGACAAGAATTTTATACCTTTTCTGTCAGTGACCTTGAACTTGCAAAAATTACCTTGGTTCCAGGAATTCTCCCTTACAAAGATAAGCTAAGACAAAATTGCATGGACGGACAGACGCAGTGACAGACAGACAAGGTTATTCATATATACCCCTCCCATAACATCATTTGCAAGGGGTATATAGTAAATTCAGTTCAGTCCAGTAATTTTTTAATACAATTTCTTTCTTTGGATTTGGAATACTCAAAAAATATTTTGCTTTCTTTGATTTAGAACCTTTTTTTCTATAAAATACCAATTTTGTTACCCTACATGAACATTTTTTAACTAAATTCAGACAAATCCGTGAAGAGAAGTAGCTTATAACTCTGTCCCGATAAAATATTCATACACAAATTGTCACTGTGTTGTGTTTAATTACTGTAAGGCTTGAAATATGAGGTCTTAATATATTACATCAATGTTGAATTTAGTTACAAATGCTTTAATTGATAAAATATTAATTCTTCAAATATTAACTATTAATTAAGATATTTTTTGTTAATTCCCAATTACATATTTTAGAGTAAAATGATGCTTATGCCAATAAAACATATAATATTGAATCTTATCTATAGTAAATTACTGTAATAGTTTTGTTATAATTTTGCAATACACACGGATAATATAAATAAATGTGATTCTATACAATACATTTTTCTAATTTTTATGTGACAATTAAAGTCACGAACTGATATAAAATAATAAAATATGATAGCTTAATACACAATTAACTTCATTGATAGCTTAAAGTTTGATACAACATTCAATGTGTTTATGACAAATGTAATGTTACCACACCGGATCAATCCGGAAATTTTATGTCTGTCTTTATTTAGTTTTACTTTCTCTTGTATATCTGTTTTTCCTGTAATCTGCACGAAGTTGATGCACAAGCATTTTTTCATTGAAAAGATTTTTAGTCATAGATAGCGGCAACCATGTAAGTTATATCATTGAAAGTTGTCTGAATAATAGATTGTTATGTTTATATTTTACTATGCAAACCTTTTATTGTGCATAATATTAGTAATTTTGCATATGCTGCACACACAGGTACTTGGGTTTTGGTTTATAAATATGTATGTACCTTATTGATATGTAAAAAAAAAAGTAAAGGTATGCAGGCTCCGTAATGGCGTCTGCTCAATTCGCTTGTTTACATGGTTTGTTCTTTGAAAATAACGCTGCAACTACCGATCTTTATGCACCGGACGTCTCGGAACACTGATTACTTATTGTAAAAACCCTCACATCTTGCAAATAATTCCTAAAACATGAGTTTTAAACACATTTTCAAACTTTTCGTTAACGTACCCGGAACTAAGTGCAAATGCTAAAAACCGATTCAAAACGACAAATTCCGGCCATTCAGACTCTTCAAAAGTCCAGAGGCGTACCGGGAAATTTAAATATAACTGCAATTATCCCAGAACTATTTTTAGTTTTCTCGGAACGCCTCTAGAATTTTGAAGTGTCTGAATGGCCGGAATTTGTCGTTTTGAATCGGTTTTTAGTATTTGCACTTAGTTCCGGGCACGTTAACGAAAAGTTTGAAAGTGTGTTTAAAACTCATGTTTTAGGAATTATTTGCAAGATGTGAGGGTTTTTACAATAAGTAATCAGTGTTCCGAGACGTCCGGTGCATAAAGATCGGTAGTTGCAGCGTTATTTTCAAAGAACAAGCCATGTAAACAAGCGAATTGAGCAGACGCCATTACGGAGCCTGCATACCTTTACTTTTTTAACATATCAATAAGGTACACACATATTTATAAACCAAAACCCAAGTACCTGTGGCTGCATATGCAACTTGCAATTGATGCTATTTTTAGATTTAAAATCTATAAAACTATTAATAAGTCAGTTTAATGTTAAACGTAGTAAAATTATTTGTGGAAAATTGAGCTAGACAAACTGATTATGTGCTGTTTAACTATTGATGATATGTATGAGAATTTACATTAGAATCTTAAATCAAAGTTTTGAATGTATCAAAATAATTTGGTAGGCCTAATGTTTACATGTGAATCTACATTGATTCTTGCAATTTTTTGATTATCATCAGAAGCTACATGAATTCTTTTGTATTTTTATTTTGTATAGCTTTCACAGAATGTCTCACAAGAGAACCATGATGTCTGTTCCAGACCTTTGAATCTTGAATAAACTAATGTTACAAGAACCATTGAGGCATTTTGTTAACTGAAACAAAACAACTAAGCAAGAATCACTGAAGATACTTGTACACTGTCAGTGTGTTGATAAGCCATTGTCCTACATAGAAATTGTTCTCATCATCCACACACACACTACGGGGATACTTTACCCCTTGTTCTTGTGTGAGTAATAGAGACAAAAACTGACCGTCCTGATCAAGGAGGTGAACAGTGTTATCGTACTGATCACACACAAGGATGTGACCGAGGACATCAGTACAGATTCCGTAGGGACGGAACACTGACTCCTGACCTGCGTAGGAGAACCTGTGTTGTCCTGATTTATTCACCACCACTACTCCCTTTCTATAGTCTGATGTACAGATATCTCCATTGATGTTCTCTGTGATGTAGTGTGGTAGTCTATACAGTTCCTGTCCTTTGTTATCCCTCCGTATGTTCTGTAGTTCTTTTCCTGTCTTGTTGTACCTGGTGACTTTACTTTCCTTTTTATTCCTCCTCATTTTAAAAAGTCCTTTAGCCTCTGTAAATTTCAGCATACCCACCAGTAAATCGCCGTTGATGTGGGAGGAGTGTATACTGAGTGGTGCCCAGTCTCCAGTTTTAATGAATTCAGTGATATTATTATCCTGTGTTATCCTATTGATGACTTTCTTGTCTTTGTCTGTAAAGGTCAGATCAGTTTCCTGTGTGACTGTGTGGTAACCTTCAGATTCACCATTCGTTTTTATGTTATGTATCACATTCCCCTGTAGATCTGTTTGGACAAGATTACCATCATCGTCACTGATCCAGAGTCTGTCTGATTGATCTTGTGATACATGGTATGCATGATCAACACCTGGTACACTGAACTCCCTGACGGTGACAGAGGCAGATAGAGACATTGTTTGTTTCTTGTCAGATTTCTTTCTGTCTTCTAAATCTTTCATCTGTTTGTGTGTAGGTTTCATTGCTTTATTGTAGACACTTTCAATGGGCCTTAGGTTTCTCTTCTCTGGTTTAGTGTTGGGAACAAATATTTTACCAAGTAATTTGGTGACATCACTTTTGCTGTTTTGACCAGCAGTAAATCCTGGTATGACTGGTTTTGTTGTCTCTGGTATGGATCGGATCTTTGGCTTCTTCTCAGACATTAACTTATGAGGTTCTGTAGAGAACAGACATATGCGGAGCTCTTTGACAAGGTTATTAAGATAAGTGATGTAATCATCCATGGTCTTGTCTTGGATGTTTAGATCTTCTAACAGTGAATGCTCTATCTGGTCTAACTGCTTCATGTTCTCAGATACGACTGTGTCCACCAGACTTTTCAGGGACTCACCTTTAGTCTTCATGGATGTTCTGATGTTGTCCATGATATGTTGGATTTCTGAGGAATCTTTTTTAATTTCTTTCTGTAAATCTTGTGATGTGGGTAGAAAATACTCCTGGATTTTAAAGATTTCCTGCTCAAAGGCTGCATATTTTTCTGCAAAAATTGTCTCTAGATCAGTAAATATATGCCCCAGATGGTTTTGCTGTGTGACACATTTGGAACATAATGGAACTTGGCATTCTTCACAGAACATGTCCACATCTTTAGTGGGGTGGATCTTGCATTTCTCCACAGGAAGTTGTAGTTTACGTAGCTGGTAAAGCACCACTTCATGCTTTTTGTTTTCTGGACTTTTCAGATGTTCATCTCTGCATTGTTTGCACAATCTTTGATGACAAGGGTTGCAATAGAACTCACAGTTTCTTTCACATTCTTCAATGCTACACTCTAAAAAGTGTTGGGCTGTGCGGGGAATATCCATTTTAGATAAAGCCATCTGAAAATGAAGTTCATGTATATAAAAAAAAAAAAAAAATGAATGCATTCTATGTTACATGAGTACGATATAGATCTACAAATAGAACTCCATATTTTAAAGAACATATCCTCATATATTTAACAATAATTGATTAAGTTGTCCTTAATTATTTTAGCTTGTCTTTTCAACAAAAGTACGGTCACTGGAAGTAAAAACTGACACGAATATGGAAGGGAATTACCGCCAAAAGTCTATTTATCTTGCTTTTATTCTTATTCTGCCTTCTTCTTTATTCTTTGTTATTATTGTAACTATATGTCACTTTATTGTTTTCATATTCGTCTTTATTACATTTCACTTTGAACTTTTTTCATTCTTCGTTTTGTCCTCACTTCTATGTTGCTTTATTCTTGTAAATTCGTTCTTCTTTCTTTTAAATTGATACAATTTCTTTAATAAATAATTATGATCATCTCTATTACAAATGTTAATTCAGTCACGCAAACCATGAATCGCATTCAACGAAGACGAATACAAGTAGTGTAAATTTAATGCGGCATTATAACGCTAGGTGGCAGGGTGTTCGCTGCGAGTGTTGGTAAAATTAGGTACGCAAACCCGGGCCGAGGTTATTCGAGATTTTTCTGCCTTAATACTTTATCAATCGAACCCAAGTTTTCAAGTTATGTTAGTTATAGGTTTATTTGTATACGCGGTAAAATTGCCCTGAAATGCCCAATATTTTAGATTTTCTCGAAGAAAATTATTTGATTTCCAAGTTTTTGGAAGGCAGTATCAACATTTAGTGGGGGTTTTTTTTGTACAAAAAGCTAATAAATTTATAAATTATTCCGATGCTAAATATTATATTTTAACTATTTATAAGCATTTCTTCTTTCAAATGTGCTTTTGTTTCTTTAAATAACACGTTTTAAGAAAATCTGGGTCCAATGATGAAAACTCTAAAATAATTGTGTATTTTCTGTCACCTGAAAAAAATAAGTAACTCTATTCAAGTTATTTGTTGGATGATTGAATTTCAGTTTTATTGATATAAAAAAATATTAAATATTTTGATAATTACTAGTATACCCTTATAAATTGAGTTGTTTTTCAGGACCCCTATATATTCTTCCACTGAACTGACATTTCTTTATTTCAGGATAATAATTGTTCATGCGCAGTCGCTTGATTCTGGGGACCGCTGGGATAGTCTGGTTTCGGTCAACCCATAATGCTCTGCATAGTAGTGCGGAACGTCATGGGTAGGCCTTGCCGGAACCAGGCAAGACCGGGGCATACTAAAAATTTCCCCCAGTTTTTATGAAAATGTGTATTAATTTTTTGTATAGAAATGGCACTTTTTCAATAAAGAAATAAATATCTCTAGTAAGCACACAGTGTTTGACATCAGAATAACTCAAAAAATTATTTTGTCAATGTCTCGTTTGGCAAAAAATACGTAAAATGTAGGCTTGATATTGTCTACCCATCTTAGCAAATCAGAAATCAAAAATCGCCAAAAATAATCTAAAATATTGAGATTTCAAAATATAAATACATGAATATAAATATTGGCAATTTTTACAGCGAATACAGATAAAACTTAGAGACGTAGCATTGTTTCTGAAAGGGGCAGCCAGAGAAAAAAAATAACTTACCTAAAAATCTTGGCAAGCAAAAAACAACAACAACAACAACAAACAAACAAACCAAAGAAAAAAACAACAACAACAAACAAATAAACAAAATAAAAAAAAAATAAAAAAGAGAAAAATTCTTCAAACTCGAAAATTCTATTTGGGGGGAGGGGGTCCAACTTCTTTCAGCACCAAATTTTACTCATACGTCACTACGTACATGGCCCTTATTTGACAAATACAACAAAAAGTGGGAGGGGGTCAACCTGACTTTCATTGAACATTTTCAGTAGCCAGCCCCCCCCCCCTGCTACCGGTGTCATATAGTGAGACTTACCCCATAGTGAGTCTTCCCCCCGGAAGTCTGGCTATATATTGAGACCTCCCTTCCGAGGGGGGGGGGGGGGATGACTGAGCCTTCCGCCCTAAACGACCATAGTGGGACTTCCCCTTCCGTGTTTGGTCAGTTTCGATTTTATTTACATCGACGATGTATATATTGCATATTTAGGTAATGATCTTATATATATATAAAAAAAAGATGAATAGTTTCAAATGAATCAATATAAAAGTGCGCATTAAAAATTTATCGTGCACAGCAGATTATAGTATTGTTCCGAGACGATTCTTATCCAAAGAAAAAAGACATAATTAGTTTAACAGTAAAGAGGTCATTACCCGTAGAAACGTGCAGTTTACCTATGTTTATCTGCATGGTTAAGAAGTTTTAATTATAAAAATCACTATTAAAATGTTTTAATTATTTATTCATATATTTATTTATTCATTCATATAGGACGGATAATTTTTATCCAAACACTGAAAACGTTAGTATAAAAACACTGTTTTACAATAAAAAAAAATATTCGGAAACTAAATTAAAGGGGGAAGTTTCGCTATGAAGGGGGAAGACTGACTATATAGTGAGACTTTCCCCTGGAGAAGTCTCACTATATAGCTAGTCTTCCGGGGAAAGTCTTACTATCTAGGCAGCCTTCAGTGGGAACGACACCGGGTACATGTCTGAACCTATAACATACATATTTGAAAATTTGGGTTCGATTGATAAAGTATTAAGGCAGAAATTTGAAAAATCTCGAATAACCTCGGCCCGGGTTTGCGTACCTAATTTTACCAACACTCGCAGCGAACACCCTGCCACCTAGCGTTATAATGCCGCATTAAATTCACACTACTTGTATTCGTCTTCTTTGAATGCGATTCATGGTTTGCGTGACTGAATTTACATTTGTAATAGAGATGATCATAATTATTTATTAAAGTAACTGTATCAATTTAAAAGAAAGAAGAACGAATTTACAAGAATAAAGCAACATAGAAGTAAGGACAAAATGAAGAATGAAAAAAGTTCAAAGTGAAATGTAATAAAGACGAATATGAAAACAATAAAGTGACATATAGTTACAATAATAACAAAGAATAAAGAAGAAGGCAGAATAAGAATAAAAGCAAGATAAATAGACTTTTGGCGGTAATTCCCTTCCATACACGAATTCTCAAATATTTCTATCACTGTTTGATCTTTTCTTACCCATTCGCTGTTTTCCGCCATATTACTTTCAGATACCTTGTCTTATTGTCACGACATATACTCAAGTGGGCTCGTTACGCTTGAGTGAATTTTTGGTTTGGCTATCGAATGGTGCACATCTCCAATAGTAAATAACTAAGAGGATACTCGAACTGAATGAAAACATTTAAAAACCAAAACAGAAATAAAATCAAGTAGACTGATTGTTCCCGAACAATTAGAGGTCTTACCACCTTTTGTAAATTTTATATATATATATATATATTTTTGTATTTAAATCTCAAAGAAATTTTTTAAGAAAATGAAACCAGAAATAGCTTAAAAGATTGAAAAAAGAAATATTTCAGAGAATTTAAAGTGACCTTAATCTTTGGCCATGACTATATGTTCAAGGTCAACGGTCACATTGCAGTTGGTCCCATGTTTTTACAACTATCCCTTAAAAAGTTTTAGGGTTAAACGATAAGGAAAAGACATCAAAATGGCAATAACTCACATAAGGGGTCGTAAGATCCTTTCATATTGAATTGAAATCTTGTCTTGAGAAACTGAAGATATCAGTGAAGGTTTGGTGTTTCTAGAGAGTTCAATTTGGGAGGAGTAGAGATGGCAAGGTTTATGATGAAAGGGAGAATAACTTTGAAATTGTTCAGACTAACGGTTCAAGATAATGAATTTAAGACTGGTTTAAAAGGACTTATTTGCAATGCATTGAAATGAATAACATATGTAGAAAGACAAAAGAGATAGAAAAAGAGCTGTATTTCTTATATTTTGAATGAACTTGATCTTCTACTTGACCTAAATTTTAAGGTCAAAGGTTCAGAGTTTCTCCCATGTCTCTACGATTAATCTTTCTAAAATTATTTTAATTACTGGTAAACATTAAAAACTTTCAGGAGCAAAAACTGATACAAGGGTTCAATGAATCCTTTCGCAATGATAGACAGAAGCGTCTTCTTAATTAGTCAGAGATATTGGTGAAGGTTCCGGTTCTCTCTGATTTTCGGTTTCGGGGGATTAACGATAACAGGGTTTTTTCGTGCAAGGGACAAAAACTCCGAAAGGGGTCATAGTTCATAGTCGTTGGTTAAATCTCTTCATGATTTTTATGACCTTTATGATAAACAAAAAACTTTTTCAAAAAACCTTGAAACCAAAAATCAGCGGAAGAAAAATAATAAGAAGAAACAGAACAATTTCAATAGGTCTTTCCACAGACAGATCGAAAGACCTAATAATGAAAATAAGAAGTAATTATGTTTTAAATAACATTGGTGCAAGTTTGGTAAAAAAAAAAAAGAATAGTTGCATTTTATGTACATCAGAATATTTGTACAATAACTTTGATAAATGTAATGTATAAGGCAAAGTAAAACTCGTCAAATATTTTTCAATTTTCTACTGTAAGAATGAAACAAGCAACTAATCTGCATGTTATGCTTATCAAATGCATTCATTTAAAATAGATTCAGACATATAATGTATGTCGAGAAAACGAGTCGAGCGCCGTGAACCTATCAATACCTTTTAAATACATGTAAGACTCATGTACTGGGTCTGAGATATTCCACTTATTGAAATATGCACCAGAAAATTAAAAAAAATTAATTTCAATAGCTCAACAGACATGGAAATTTTCATGTAAATCACTGGCTCTTCCGTTTTTTTTTATTGAGCCATCCCATATTATATAATTTTGTACATCATATTCAAATATTTATGCAAAAAATTAAAGTGAGATTGGAATTTGCCACACCCCCTACTTTGAATGCATGAACATTGTTAACTATCTATTTCCTTTCTCCAAGTTTTTTTTTTTTTTTTGTCA